AACGGGAGGTGGATGTGGACGTTCCAGGGCTCGTTCACGTGGAGGGTCTTGATGCAGGACCCCCTGCGTCCCCTCCGGGCGGGAGCCCGCAGCCGTGGCGGAGGTGGAAGCGGCGGCCGGGGGCGGGGCTTAGGGCTGAGCCCGGGGTCCTCGAGGAAGGGGCAGCTCAGGTGGCTGTCCCACCCCTTGGGGCCGAGGTGGGGCTGGGGGCCAGGGCCTTCAGTCCTATCACAGGGCGGCGCCAGGCAACCTGCATGGGCAGCCTCCCTGGGAGGCGGCAGCGGGACCGGAGGTGAGTCAGGGTGCTTCTCCGCTGGTGGGAAGGAGAAGGGAGCCGAGGGATGGTTCGCGGTGGGGGGCCCACCCTGGCAAAGGCCCTGTAAGGAGAAACCCCACAGTCACGTCTTGTCGAGCGTCTTGTCGAGAGCTGTCTTCTCTGCTCTTTCTGTTCCCGGGAAACTGAGGCCAGGGAGGAGTTCAAGGGTGGGGGCACAGTTGGGACTAGAAGTGGCTTTCTGGATACCGGGGGTGAGAGCTGCAGGCCTGCTGGGCCCCCGGGGTCACGGGGGAGATGCCTGTCCTGATGGGCCTCGGGGAGGTGTGAGGGGAGGGAGGCCAGAGACTGAGGGGAGAGGGGGACACGGCCTCCCAGACCGGCTGCCCTGGTGTCATTTCCAGGGGAAAAGGGATTTTAACACAAAACCCCACTGATCTTGGCAGGCAGGAGCCTTGCGGTCTCCAGGCAGCGTCAGCAGCTCCCTGCAATGGTGGCCTAGCAGAGGTGGGCCATCCAGTCGGGTCATCTGGTGAGCAGGGCCTGGAGGCCCGGGGTCCTGGGTGTCTTCTGTAGCCCTCCCTCATCAACTGCCATGGAATCCAAAGCTCTGGGCTTGGCCGTTAAAGGGCCAGTCCTCCGCACCCAGCTCTGCCTGCTGCGAGGAGCATCACAGCATCCCTGCCGTGCGGTCTGCTCCTTGGTCACCTCCCAGCAAGCCCTGAGAATGCTGTTCCTGACGAAATATGTACCACTAGGTGGCAAAATACGGTTTTCAAAAGCTTCAAGTCCTATAACAAGGTGATGCTCTTAATTTCAGTTCTGCCACTTCCATAGACCCTTGCTGACTGGTCCTGTTGACACAGGTTGCTCTCTCGCTTTTCATTCATCCACTTATCCAGCCATGCATCCACATACCCACCATCCATGCATCCATCAATCCAGCCACCATCCATTCATCCAACACCCCCCCACCATGCACACATTCATCCGTCCATCCACCCATCATCCATCTAATCTCCCCC